TGCAGCACCTTCCGCGGGAAGGGTTGGCCAATGGATTCAGGTTTATTAAATGAGTGAATACCTGGTTAGGAGTGTATTTATACTATAGGTCCCCAACCTTTTAAAAATCCCATTCTTGTTAGCTGTACTATTTAGTGGAATGTCTGTGATAAGGACAGCCAGTTACAGTGGCTTTGGGGATTTTATGTTGTAATAAAACCAACTTTTAGTTTTGATTGTCCTAGGCTTCATAAAAATTTATTTTGAGAAATTGCTGTGAAAGGCATAGCAAGTTATTTTGAATTTTTTTTTTTTTAAGATTTTATTTATTTATTTGACAGAGACACCGCGAGAGAGGGAACACAAGCAGGGGGAGTGGGAGAGGGAGAAGCATGCTTCCCGCTGAGCAGGGAGCCCCTTGCGGGGCTCAATCACAGGACCCTGGGATCATGACCTGAGCCTAAGGCAGACGCTTAACGACTGAGCCACCTAGGCGCCCCTGGATTTTTTTTTTTTTTTTAAGATTTTATTTATTTATGTATTAGAGAGTGAGAGAGAGAGAAACAGCATGAGAGGGGAGAGGGTCAGAGGGAGAAGCAGGCTCGCCGCTGAGCTGGGAGCCCGATGTGGGACTCGATCCCAGGACTCCAGGATCATGACCTGAGCCGAAGGCAGTCGCTTAACCAACTGAGCCACCCAGGCGCCCGGATTTTTTTTCTTTTAAGGGAAAATATGTTCCTGACTTTGGTACCTTACTATTAGTAATAATTCCCCAGTTTCTTTAATATCTTATTTTTTTGACAGATATACATAGTTCTTGTAAAAGGAACAGCCAGTTAAGGAGGTTTAGGGATTTTTGTTTTGTTTAAAAACTATAACCCTGGTTTGACTCTTTTAGTAATAGATAATAGGATTACCTTCCCAAGCCCTTTAAAATGTTACTCAGTGAGTGGATCTCTTATTTTTGTAGGATTTATTTCATAGCTTTGGATGAGAGACCTCATACAGGCTTAGGTCCCTATGCCAAATGCAATTTTATCGTTGGGTACGTTGCATTTTCTTCTTTGACCATGCATAAGTTTAGAAGTGTGTTTACTTTCCTGAGTTTTCATTTTCTCCCTTTTCTTCTGCCTTGTCTAGCTCACAGAACAAATACAGAAAAGAATAACTTGAGGGATTTGGAGAGATACTTTGTACTTAAAAAGTTTTTATTTATTTATATGACAGAGGGAGAGAGGAACACAAGCAGGGGGAGTGGCAGAGGGAGAAGCAGGCTTCCTGCAGAGCAGGGAGCCTGATGCAGGACTCAATCCCAGGACCCTGGGGTCATGACCTGAGCCAAAGGCAGCCGCTTAACTACTGAACCACCCAGGCGCCCCACTTGTACTTACCATTGATTTTTAGTCATTGGGCATCAGGAACAAGCCTGGGAGGCCAACAGCCTCATTCAGATCCCAGATGCAGCCTTTATTAGCTCTCTGACCTTGAACCCACCAATGAGCCTCATTAGCTCTCTGACCTTGAACCCACCAGTGAGCCTCACTGTGGCTTTGATTCGTCATGGGGAAAATGGTAGCATCCAGAGTGGCTTGCTGCCAGGTTCACATTGATGATCCAGGGGAAGTGCCTGGCCTCCATCTCTCCTTGCTGCTCCAACCTTTGCCTTGTTAATTGAAGAAATACTACTATAAACACATTCTGGAGGTGTGTCTGGCATTTACCCTCCTAATGATTTATGGAGAAACCTTCACATTTTCAATTGTTTCCTTTGCTTTCTGTCATTCCTAACCTACCTGATTCTATCTGATGTGATCTTGTGTGTGTTTGCATAGATAGAATTTTGGCTTACCTTTCTCTTCAGAGTCTGATTGCCCGCACCCTACCTCTACCAGGATGTAGAGTTTCTCGGGACTCACTCCCAGCCCATCCCTAGAGTCCTGTACTATTTCCTGTCCCTCCCCGTCACTGCAGCTTTATTGCTTAAACATTTCATGATGGGCATCCCTTCCTGACTTTGTATTATGTTAAATTATATTGAGTTATTGTTCTCTGTGTGTCCGTGCTGTATTACAGTTCATGGAGGCAGGTGGGCCTAGGTTAAGAATTTGCCTTCTGCTCCTGAAGGAGAGGTCACAAGGAGTTGTTGAGCAGAGATGGGGAGACACTGGGCTGATGTTTCCTTAAGGGTTCCCCTAAGAAGGGGGAGGCTGAACCTTCTCAAGCAAACTTGTTTTTATTCTTTTAGGTCTGAATTTTGGGCAAATCTTGTAGAGATTAAAGAGGGAAGACTAAACTTTCAACATTCACACTGAGAAAGGCCGAGGAGATGAGTTGGGCTACAGCTTGGGGTGGCAAAATGGTAGACAGGTGGCCAGCAAGAAAATATAACCCAGAGGGAGAAGAGAAGATACCCCTTAGAAATCAGGGCAAAATCCCAAAGTGTCTCTCTCCCCATGGTATCACCAGGATGTGGATTCCCCTCCCAGGTCTACCCCTGCAGTGCTAGTGAAGGACAGCGGAGCTGTGGGGATGAGAGTTTGATCACTCCATTCAGATGCACACCCAGATACGTGTGTGGCACCTCCTGGCATGCTGCCCCCTGGATAAGTTCAGTGCTTCTCCATGCACAGCATATATCTATTTCAGATGAGACATCCAGTCTATATGGCATGTGCTGATTTGGTTTTGATCTCATGTCATGATGATAATCAAGACAGTGACCCTTAACAGTTTAAAATTCTTCAGCTTGCCGGTCTGTGATTGGGATAGTTTTTTTTTTTTTTTTTTTTAAGATTTTATTTATTTATTTGACACAGAGAGACACAGCGAGAGAGGGAACACAAGCAGGGGCAGTGGGAGAGGGAGAAGCAGGCTCCCCGCTGATCCAAGGAGCCCGATGAAGGGCTCGATCCCAGGACCCTGGGATCACGACCTGAGCGGAAGGCAGATGCTTAACCGACTGAGCCACCAGGTGCCCCTGGAGTGTATTTTATATCTACACCGTTTCTCAGTTCAAACTAGCCATGTTTCTAGTGCTCAGTAGCCACATGTGATGAGTGGCTGCGTCATCGGTCAGCACAGCTCTAGGGAATGATTTTATGTACACACTCCACCTCTCTTCCTGCCTCCATTCTCGTGGACCTCCACACCCCTGGAGTCGGTGACTTTTGCCTCCCTCTTTCCTCTCTCGCCGTTTGTTGTGTTCCTTTTCCGATAACGGAGACTCCTTCTTCCTGATTTCTTCTTATTTTCCTTTGAGGGTCACAGTTTTTTCCTCTATCCCCCGTTTCAGCCTTTCCCCATAGGAGGTGCCATGCTTTTTTGTCTTGGTTGGGTATTTATTTGCAATTTCTTACTAATGATTATTTTCTTTGTCCCATCAGTTGAGTTAGACACTTTCCCCATTTTTTTCATGACAGATCTCCAGATTAATTTTAGAGTTAAACTGGAATGCATAAGTTTAGAGGTGTGTAGCACCCCTTTTGTTTCTGCCTTGATTTTTAAAATAGCATATATGGCTATATATGTATTTTAGGATATAAGATCTCACTCTTAAGTATTGCTTTGCCTCGTTGACTATTTTTATAATTATTTTTATATCTTTTCTATGTATTTTAGGGTTTCCATTAAACTGATGTAAAATTTTGTGTTCTTTTATATGAAAAATAAACATTTATTTTTAAAAAATTTCTACTCGAGTGGTTATTTTTATCTAAGAAAGTCCATAAAAATGGGCATATCAGTGACGTTCCTTCCTGTGCTATAATGGGATGTTATCAGGAAACAGGGTGTCAGGTCTCAGTGAGGGAGGGTAGAAAGTAGGGGTTCTCAGAGTGCCGGGGTCCCAGGTTTTCTGGAAGGTTTACGTGGGTCCAGTGGTTGGGCTTGTCACTACCTGGCTGAGCACTTCCTGAGTGGTACCTTTTATTTGTAGACATGATGCTGTCGATGTTCTTGCATCATCTTGGAGGTTTTTATGTTGCAGGAGTTTCCAGAGAAGCCCCTACAGGCAGGCTTCAAGTCCGTTGTGCTGCTGCCTTGCTCTTTAGGACCTCCCCCTGACCTGGTGTTAGAGGAGAGCCTAGTGTGTTCCTTGGACAAGCAGCATCACGGCTACCTGGAAACATGATAGAGATGCATGTATCAGGTGCCACACAGGCACTGAATTAGAAACTCATGGGGAGGCCCAACAATCTGTGTTTACTAAGCCCCCCAGGCGGGTCTGTTGCAGCAGTTTTTTGTTTTTTTTTTTTAAGATTTTATTTATTCATTTGAGACACAGATACAGAGAGAGAGAGAGCATGAGCAGGGGTGAGGGGCAGAGGCAGAGGGAGAAGCAGGCTCCCTGCTGAGCAGGGAGCCCGATGCACGACTCGATCCCAGGACCCTGGGATCATGACCTGAGCTGAAGGCAGACGCTTAACCATCTGAGCCACCCAGGCGTCCTTGTTGTAGCAGCTTTTGAGAAGCATTGTATCAGACGATGTTTGAGTTCATGCTAACTTAGTCACAGACACCTGGGGCTGCTCACTGCCTGCACTTTGTGCGGGCGTCTGGATCCTCTCGGAATCCCTCTCCTGGACTTAATAATCCCTCCTACTTGAAGTCTGTCTTCCACAGCCTCTGCACTTTCTGGCTTTTGTTTCTAGTGAGTTCTGTGGTATGTGCTTCCATGTCTGTGACACTGTGAGAGAAGTGGCCGAGGCTGGAATTGCCACCTACTGCTGAAGGCAGTGGCGGTGTTCAGAAGGGAGGCGAGGAGCTGTGTTTGTGTGTGTCTCACAAGATAGACTGATACTCGGGGCACCTGGGTGGCTCAGGCGTTGGGCGTCTGCCTTCAGCTCAGGTCATGATCCCAGGATCCTGGGATCGATCCTGGGATCGAGCCCCGCATCGGGCTCCCTGCTCAGCGGGAGGCCTGCTTCTCCGTCTCCCACTCCCCCTGCTTGTGTTCCCTCTCCTGCTGTGTCTCTCTGTCAAATAAATAAATAACATCTTTAAAAAAGAAAAGACTGATACTCGATAACTGCTTTGTTTTTACTTCATCTCCTGTTGACTTCACAGTGTGAGTGCAGTCTGTGTAAACCTCTCTACTGAATGATGCACAAATGTAAGTATTTACGTGAACATATGAAGTCTGCATATGTGGATAAACGCCCTTATATATCATTTATTTATCCGTCATTACATCTCTGTGGGGTCTTACCTGATTCCTCGACCTTATTTTCTGTCACTGTACCCATCTCTACTTGAATGTATATGAAATATTTTATTATAAAAATAAACAGGGGCACCTGGGTGGCTCAGTCGGTTGAGTGGCTGCCTTCGGCTCAGGTCATGATCCCAGGGCCTGGGATCGAGCCCTGCATCGGGCTCCCTGCTTGGCGGAGAGCCTGCTTCTCCCTCTCCCTCTGTCTGCTGCTCTGCCTGCTTGTGCTCTCTCGCTCTCTGTTAAATACATAAATAAAAATAAAAAATAAATGTTTAAAAATAAAAATAAACAGATACTATGTTTACTTTGTGTTTTTTCTCTCACTGTGGAACCTCCTCCCTTCTGGAGCTTCAGTGTGGGATCTGCTCTGCCTTCTGTGGCCAACTCTTTTGGAGCAAGAAGGTGTTGCCCACCACCCTGTGGCTGCAGGTGACATAGCAGAGGTGTGGGCAGCCATCTCTTACCCTTGAACCTGACGAGTTTCCGCATGAGATTTAACTGCTGTGTGTCTTTCTGAGGACAGGATTGTGCTCATTTTCCTCATCTCCCTCTTGAGGGGCTGTTTGCTGTGCTTATTTACTCCCCATTTGTCTACTCCCCATTTGCCCATCACCTGCTGATGTTATTCATGCTCTCCTCCCATCTGTGCACAAGATGGGAAAGGCTCTACACTTGACTTTCTCTTGTTTTTTATTCAGTGTCAACCCCTGAATATACCTTTCAGGGGCATCTGTCATCTTCCAATCTAGCCACGATCCTTGTGCACACACCTCCCCAAAGACTGTCTCTCTGTAATGATTTTATGCACAAACTGCACTTCTTCCTGCCTCCTGCATCCCCATAAGTGCCCCACCCCCCACCCTCATCTGATTATTTCTTCCCTATCTCATATCCTACTTTTATGTTAGTTTTCTGACCTGAAATGTGATTACTAGGTCCTTTGTTTTCTGCCTTAATTTCTAAGTCATAGATTACTTTCAGGCTAAATTGTCACAGAATTTAGAGAAATATTTTACTTACCAGATTACCATTTTATTATGGAAGGATAATACAGGAACAGCCACATGGAAGAGATGCATAGGGCAAGGTATGGGGAAGGGTCACAGAGCTTTCATGCTGAGTGCACCACTCTCCCCGAGTCTTCATCAATCTGGAAGCTCTCCAAACTCCCATCTTTTTGTTTTTTTATGGAGGCTTCACTACACAGGCATGAACTAGTGATTGATTCAACCTCCAGCCCCTTTTCCTTCCCTGAAGGAAAGAAAGGGGAGTAAGTTCGCAGAGTCACATCATCACCTGACCTGCTGTTATACTGTTTGACTTATTAATAGGTAACCTATCAGCTTGGGTCTCTCTTCACTGACTGTGTAAACATGTCTACACATAGGGATCTGGATTATCTCAGGATCCCACCTCCCACCCCCTGCACCCCAATCCCTTCTCTAAAGCTTTCAGTCCTTCCATTTCATGTGTGCTCTTCATAGCCCCATGCCTGATTTTGGTTCTTACTGAGTTCTGTTAACAAGCACTCCACATTAATGGATATGAAACCCTTTGTGAGCTGTGCCAGCAGGACAGGAATAGGGCACTAGGCTGATCCTTCCTGAACACCATCCAATGGGGTAGGCTGAAACTAACACACAAACTTTGTTTTTTTACTTCTCCAGGTAAAGGGATATTGGAAGAGATTCTGGAGTGGGATGTGAAGATTCAAGAGTAGTCTCTGAATATTTGCATCATGATAGGTCTTGGAGGTGCCTGGTGGGTGGGGCTTTGGAAGGTTCAGTTATCAGGGAATTGTGGATATTAAGGAAGTCAGGAAAGAAAAGAACTCACAATTCAGCAATTCAGGGTAAGCTCCCAAAGGCCTCTTTCTGGCTACTTAATGCCCAGAAGCCAAGCCCTCACTTCCTATCAAGACTACAGGCCAATAGGTGCCAATGAAGTTCATATAGTGTAAGATCTATTCATGCCTTTCCCTACAGCCGGGACTCTGGGGGCAAAATATAAGGGGGCACCATAAAAACTCAGTAATCAAGATAAGTATTTTAAGGTGGTATCTTTGAAAATCAAAATTAATGCAAAAAAATTCATTATGAACAAAACTGTCAAGTTCTGCTTCCTCTTCACACCCCATCCCCCCACCTCCCAACCACAACTCTGGTAAATTTCCCCTAAGTGCACCTAGCTTCCAATAAAAACCCCAGGGATTTCTGGATCAAGCCACGGTTCCTCACCACACTACTACTTCTACCACCAGGGGGCCTTTTTGCTCTTGGTCTCAAGTCCCGCCTCCCCACCCACCAATATCCCAGGGACACAGGACTAGAGCCATCCACCAATATCCCGGGAGTTAGCCCAAGCCGATCCCGCTCTCCTAGAAAATAGCCTTGGCGTTCCCTGCGCGGACTGGCGCACCAAGGCCGGTGTCGCTCCTATCCCGGAGTCCCAACAGAGCGTCACTCCACTGCTTCGTTCCCCAAGGTCTTTGCCCTGAGCTGCGCCCACTCGCCCCAATCCGGACCCTGGTTTCTGCTCCTGGAAGGGCACACAGGGCGGAGCCTTGGCGTGGGTTACCCCAGCTCACCCGTGCCGCTGAAGGTCAGCGCGCACAGTCTGTCCACCCGCCTCAGTAACACCGGCGGGGCGCCAGGACCACATTTTCTCGAATCTTCGGGCATTTCTGCGACTCTCTCGTGGTCCGCGAGATCTCATTGGCCCTCGGAGAAGAAACATGTGCACCTTGCGGTCTGGGCATCTTAACATGAGCTCCTAAGCTTCGTTGCACGAGAGGTGCAGATGTCAGAGTCACCCTGCCGTTGGCGAAGCCTGCTCGCCCAGACCTCTCCACCCCAAAGACTACACTCTCCAGACGCCCGCGCGGCCACTTCCGCTGTCCCTGGCGCTCTCCTTGCGGCGGAGTTTACGTAGCCGGAGCACTTCCGGCTGGTGGGTCCCGCCCACTCGCTGGTTGGCGGCGGGGTAGGCCTCCGTATTCGGTCGTTCCCACGCTTTTGTACTTGGTGCCCGAGCCTCAGCCTCAGGATCGGCAACGTGCACCCTGCGTCACGTGAGTGCCCTGTAGTCGTTGCCTTGTCCAGTCAGCGCGTCCCTCTACTTGTCCCTGTTTTACTCGTGGGGGTACAGGCTGCCTCTGAACTCGGGCCTTCTTCCATAGGCATTCCAGGCCATTATCTTTTTCATTCCAGCCCAGAGAGTTAGAGACACTTACTCCTTTGTAGGGGGACATGGGCTCCACTCCGTGGCCAGAGCTTAGGGCTGAATTTGACGGTGCTCGGTCACTTTGAACCCTTTTCCCAGGGCTCTGGATGGGAATTGGGTTGTGCTGGTGATTTCTGTGACACTGAACCCCCAGGTGTGGGGCTCCGGAGCCGACCCCGTCTTGACTGCTGGAGAGGGAGGGGCTTTTCCATCTAGGCACGCTCTCGTTTCTTTTCACATCCCCAGGTCTATCTCTGAGACTTTGCCCTTCTCCAAGGACAGCATTCAGGAGACCAGGAAAATGGCCACGGGGCTCCTGAAAGCCAAAAAAGAGGTGAGAATTTTCATCAAATTCCATATTGGCTGCCACCAGGATGGATCTGTTCCTTTTTCTTGCGCTGCAGGCTGCCTTGTTGGTATTGGGCAAAGTTCACGCCTGTTCCTGGAGGAGTGGCGGCTCATCTTACATGGAGTCCCCTCCTTCAGCGTTCCTTTCTGCTCCATCCATACCTGTCACCCGCGAAGTGGTCAGTTGTGAACAACACACATGGAACAGTTTAAGTAAAAATACAGGAACATCCAGGCTTGACTGTCCAGTGGTAAGGATGCAGGACAGGGACGACAGAGATGCTTATGACCTGAAGTGGTTAGGGAGGGCTTCCAGAAGAAGTAGGGCTGTCTGAAATGCCCCTGAGGGTTTGGTAAGTTGGAGAGTTGGCAGAGCAGGGAAGAGAGCAGGAAGCATGGTTAGCCTGAGGCTGGGCACACTGCCCTTGCCACAGTGTGGGAAGATTGTAGTGGCCAGTGGAATTATTTAAGATTGATTTTTAACTATGTGCTGGTGAAGATACAGACACGTGGGGAGCTTGATGGTCTGACCTGAATTTTATGCTGAGAGCATTTTCATCATCAGGCCGTTGGGGAGATTTCACCAAAAATTCTGGATTGCCTGCCTCTCTGAAAATAAATTGCACTGTGGTGTCAGGGAATTCACACTGAACATTGTCCCGCAGAGTTTATTTGCTGCACTTTCCACAGTATCTTCCAAACTCAGGTTGAAACCATTGACTAGCTAACATTTTGCCTACCTCTCTCATTTATATTACCTACCTGGTCCCTGAAGGATTTTCATTTTCTACCTCTTAGTCTGGGTGGCTAAGTTGAGTGCCAGACTGAGGAGTGTAGATTTTGTCTTTGAATAAGCTAGGTTTTGAAGGATTTTGAGAGGGAATTTGATATAAGGAAATCAATGACATGGATGTATAGGGACTTAAAGGGGAAACTTTCTAACCCCTATGAATGGTGGCTATGATGACCTTGACTTAATTGAATGTGATTAACAGTTATTGAGTGCCAACAAAGTTGCCAGGCTGGTTTACTATCATTTTTGATATGCATTAACTTGGTTATTTCAGATCTGCCTTGACTATCCTTATTTAAAAAAAAAAAAATGAGAGGAAAATTTAAGCAGAAAATGAGACCTCAGTTTATTCTTTCTTTCTTTCTTTTTTTTTTCTGGAGACCTTGATTTATTCTTAATCCTGGCCCTCTATGGTAGAGATTTACAGTTTCCTGGATGTTATCAGAACAACTTTGAGAGTTCTGTGTTTCTCATTTATATTTCATTCATTTGAAAGTGTTAGTACCAAGAATGCATAATGAATCTAATTCAGAACATTTCCTAAGGTAACATTGAATATTTTGTGTGTATTTTCTTCACTACTCATAATGTTAATAGGAAAGCATTCTGATTTTCTGGGAAAAGCCAGACATTTGTGTGAGCTGATTTTTCCCTGCCCCTAATACTTAAAAAAAAAAAGTATTGGAAGAACTGATCCAAGGGTACAAGCATTTGAATGGAGAAGTCATTTAAGATGAAACCTCTGTGCCTAGGGGAGTACCTGACACATAGGAAATGTTGAGTGCATAGAGGAACCACAGCCTTAAATAAATTAATTTGAAAGAACTAAGTAACAAAGGAGTTTCTGTTGTTTGTGTTGGTATGTTATTTGGGGCATATAATTAACTACATATTTCAGGGGGTTTGGGTAGACTATCCAGGTACTCTGATATGCATGACATCTGAATTATACAAACCAGTTTAAACAAATATACAGTTCTATATTAGGTCACTGGCAGGGACCTTTGCCTGAGAGAATAAAGTAAAATTTGTAACAAATGGGATGGGCTGGCAGGCGCATGATATTACTAATCCTTAGCATTTTTTTCACTGACTCCATTGAACAAATTTGCTGACTGTCTGCTGTGCGCAGAATACTTGATGGATGACAATCAGTAATGTGTAAAGACACAGCCTGCACCTTATGGGTCTTCCATCTTATTTTGGGATTCTGTTACCATTGGGATTTTGTTTCATTTTACACACACACACACACACACACACAAACTCAGACACATTTTGACAGAGCTTAATGATACGATCAGTATATTAAAAATAGTGCCAGTGTATCTACCCAGACCCATATTTTATAGGTGCAGAAACAGCCAACACTTAACCCACTGGAAGTGATTTCTATAATAGCGCATCAAATGGATGAACCCATCCACTACTTTCCACTTTGGGGGGATCATTTTTATTATTTTTTTAATTGCAGTATAGTTAACATACAGTGTTGTATTAATTTCAGGTGTGCAATATAGAGATTCAACACTTCCATACATCACCCAGGGCTCATCACAACTGCACTCCTTAATCTCTTCAATCCCCATCACCTATTTCACCCATTCCCTGCCCCCACACCTCCCCTCTGGTAATCATCAGTTTGTTCTCTATAGTTAAGAGTCTCTCTCTTGGTTTGTCGCTCTCTCTTTTCTCTTTTGCTCATTTGTTTTGTTTCTTAATTTCCAAATATGAGTGAAATCATATAGTATTTATCTTTCCCTGATTGACTTACTTTGCTTAGCATTATACTCCCTAGCTCTATTCATGTTGTTGCAAATGGCAGCATTTCATTCTTTTTTATGGCTGAATAATATTTCATTATATATATATCACATCTTCTTTATCCATTCATCTATTGATGGACACTTGGGCTGCTTCCATAATTTGGCTATTGTAAGTAATGCTGCTATAAACATAGGAGTGTATGTATCCCTTTGAATTGGTGTTTTTGTATTGTTGGCTAAATACCCTTTGAATTGGTGTTTTTGTATTGTTGGCTAAATGTTCCAGTAGTGTGATTACTGGATCATAGGGTAGTTCTATTTTTAACTTTTTTTTTTTTTTAATTTGAGAGAGAGCAGGAGTGGGGGGAGAGGCAGAGGGAGAAGCAGACTCCCCACCGAGCAGGGAGCCCAGTGTGGGGCTCAATCCCAGGACCCTGGGATCATGACCTGAGCTGAAGGTAGACTCTTAACTGACTGAGCCACCCAGGCGCCCCTATTTTTAACTTTTTGCTCCATACTATCTTCCACAGTGGTTGCACCAGCTTGCATTCCCACCAACAGTACAAGAGGGTCCCTTCCAATTTGGGGGACCATTTAACTTAGTCCCAATATTTTAATTATTGTAAATTTTGCTTCTGTGATCAATTTTGTGCATGAAATTCTTTTATAGGTTTGTATTTATTCTCACAACAAAAATATGATAAGGTGAGTTGAAATGGCCATTTCAAAGCAGTGGGGACTCACACCAGTTGGAGCTTTGGAACTCTGCCTGTTCTAAAACATTTGATTGTTTTGATTATTTCTTCTGTTTTGAGGCCCCCTTCTTCCATCATGATGTCTGCTTTATGTTTTGCAGTTTTCTTGTTTTGTTTTTATTCTTATACTGTACAGTTTTACATCCCCAGGGTAGACCTGCCAGTGCAGATCTTTTTCTTTTCTCACGTGAATGTTTACAATAGTGTCCTGGTTGGTTTCTACATGTTGATATGGTCCTTTGCTACGCAGCGTGTTTCTGTCATCCTCATTTTCCCCAAACATTACAGTAATATCACTTTTCTGTTCAGAAGTCCTCCTTCAGTGGCTCACAACAGTGTCTTAGGTATTCAGAACACTCCTCATTTCAGATTTATTTATTGGAGAGAGAGAGAGCGTGAAGGGGGAGGAGCAGAGGGAGAGAATCTTCAAGCAGACTCCCTGCTGAGTGTGGAGCTGAACTAGGGGCTCCATCTCATGACCCTGAGATCATGACCTGAGCCGAAACCAAGAGTTGGACGCTTAACCAACTGAGCCACGCAGGCACCCCAGGACACTCCTCATTTCAAATGTGTTGTCCTGTTTCTGACATGTTCTGATTATTAATTCTGAAAGTGTGTTTATTACCAACACAGTGGAGTCATCTCATATACACCTTTAACTTAGATTAATTCATTTTTTAGGAGGTTGGCTGGAGGAAGGAAGAAAAATAACTGTTTGAGTCATTCAGAGGAATCTATCCTCTTTTCCATGTAATGATTTCAGGCTCGGGAGTGAGAGAAAGATGGGAGGACTGACTCTAATGCTTGCCAAATCTAAGGAGTTTCTTTTTTTTTTTTAATTTTTATTTATTTGTCAGAGAGAGAGCGTGAGCACAAGCAGGGGGAGCGGCAGGCAGAGCAGGCAGAGGGAGAAGCAGGCTCCCTGCTGAGCAAGGAGCCCGGCTGTGGGGCTCTACCTGGGATCATGACCTGAGCCGAAGGCAGCCGCTTAACCAACTGAGCCCACCCAGGTGCCTCCAAACCTAAGGCGTTTCTGTCAGCATGAGCATCATAGCAAGTCAAGGATGATATTAGTTGTAAAGTATTTTTCATCTAACATGACATTCCTTTATCAGTGTATCAGTTAGCCCTTGCTGTATAACAAACCATCCCAAAGCTTATTGACTTAAAACAAAGTAATTTATTAGCATACAGTTTGAGATCAACATTTTGAGCCAGGCATAGATGGGTGTTTGGGAGGTTTCACCTGGGCTTGCTCATGTCGCTGCAATCTGCTGGCAGTTTGACTGGGGCGGGATGACCATCCATGCACGACAGTAACAAGCTAGTTGGTTAAGGTTTTTTTTTCGCATGTGTCTCTACTTCCCCTAAATGATGCTTACAAACTGCTCAGTTGCTTCTTTAGCTCTTCTCTTTTTTAAAAAAAAAAAAATTTATTTATTTGGGAGAGAGTGAGTGAGAGAGAGATCATGAGCAAGGGGGAAGGGTAGAGGGAGCCTGATGCGGGACTCCATCCCAGGACTCTGGGATCATGACCTGAGCCGAGGGCAGACACACTCAACCAACTGAGCCACCCAGGCGCCTTAGCTTTTCTCTTTCTATAAGTTCTCGTATGTGGCTAGAGGCATCCAACTGAAGCCTTTAACAGGGTTCCTGGAGATCTCGTTAGCCA